CCATTGCTTAAACCATTCAACAAGTGCGTATTCATACGAAAAGATGGCAAACACAAGGATTTCAGCTTTTGGCCTGATCGCCACGGTAAGTACGAATGTTTTTCTTATTTTCCGATTGTTAATATATTGATGTAAAATATAAAGTATTTATTCAATTAAAATGTTTTAACCAACCTCTTACAATAATAAATTTTCATTTTATAAGGTGAAAAATAAAATTAAAATAAACGCAGATACACTAACGAACAAAATTTTTAATGTCCTTTGAAAATAAACATGTACGGAGCCGGGCACATTACTAGAACGACATTTAACTCTTTGATTACGAAAAAAATATCACAGCTCATGTTTAATCCGATCTCGAACGTAAGTGATAATTGTAACTGCCGTTTTTAGAATCACAGCGTTACCTGACATTACTTGGGGACTATTGTTAAAATAATCAATGAGTGTGATCAACCATCTTGGATTCGTGATTTTCATAAAGATATTTATAATTCCGATTAAGTGATAGGGAGTACTGAGATGTTATGCGATTAACATAAATGATATTGGTTGTAGAAGGAGGTCACGCGACCTCTAACACCTTGTCTCTTACTAATAATGCTGTTAAATAACTATTGAAAAACAATTCTTTTTAATATAATGTTAATTCGACATTTTGAAAAATTTCGATTGTACATGATAATTAGTTAACGTAATTTCAAGAAAAATGATAGACAGCTGTGACAAAGCATCCAGCTCATAAGCACGTTTATTTTATATATATGATTTTTTTGTCTTTTTCTAATTAGAATCATTTTGAGTTATAATTAAAATAAACAAGGATAAAATCCATTTTAATTTTTTAAAGTTAATCATTACTTTTATACTCTGCATCTAGTACTATGTTATTTAATCCACATATCTTTATTTCTTATTTTTATTAAAAGAAATAAAATTAAAACGTATTATATAAAAAAATAGAGCACCACGGGCTGCGGAATCCGATGACTCAAGCAACCAGTGGTGAGGGCTGCTGACAGGTCCTCCTCACTATACATGCGGTTTCAAAAATAACTGCCTTTTGAATCAGGCCCTAAATCCAACTGTATAGCGAAAGCTTCTTGAGATGTTGGCCGAAGCTCTTCACTATTAGCCCATGCACCAAAACTATATATATACTATATTTTCAATACTAACATCTTTAGCATATGTCGAATTTGTATTTATATGCTTATTTTCTATGATTTGGGATAAAAAACAGCGTAGGATTCATATGTAGTTAGTAAATGGCTCTACATAAATACATAATATATTGTAGGTGACACAATGATGGTAATAACAATACATTGGGTTGGAGGAAGTAAAAAATTTAGTCCATATATTGCACATTTGATGTTAAACAATTTGTTTCATGTTTGCATTTTTAAAATTATTATTAACTTTTCCACTGAAGCCTGACTTTCTTAGCAAAGATTAAGTAAGAGAAATCAATATTAAAGGAATATTTTAGTAACCATTAACCAATTGAGAGCTAGTTAATGCAGCTAATCATTATATGTATGATTCTTTTGGAAATAAATTTATTTGAAAAATAACTATCAAGATTGTTCATTACTTTACATAAATACTTTATCTTTTTACATTGCTCGGTTTATGTACTTGCTTTGGCGATTGTCATTGTGTAAGTAATATTTATAATTAACCACACAACTGTTTCAATGTTTGTATTCAGTTTATACAATTAACTTGAACAAAAAACAGTATAAATATGCATTATAAGTTAGTAAATACATTATTCCTCTCTTATAGTGCTTTCTATTAGCTATGCATATTTTTTTTCATCTGCATCTTACTATTACATTAAATGTCAATATATATGTTCTGAAGCCATGCGAATGCATCTTTTTACATATATTTAATCATCATTGATCAAGAAATCTTTAGTAAATTATCCAAATATTCCTTTATATAAGCTTAATTTTAATAAGAAAGCTCATTTATTAATACATACATATACATAATATCCAAAACATTAAATAAAATCAATAATTTAATTACTCTATATGCCTTAACATGGAAACATGGCAGTTGTTAAAATCTTTGCGGACATTCACATAGCACAGCACATCTCGGAGCCAAACACTATCATATGAGCCTATCCCATTACATAATTATTGTAAAGAAATTAGAAATTAGTTTTTTGAATATATGGTTTATTTCTTATTTTGAGACCATTTATCCATTGAAATATCCTTTGTCTATATAATTTGGTAGTTATTTCAAATAGCCGAGTAACTTATTATTTACTATTTCCTTCTATTAATATAAAAACAATAAAACTAATTAAACCACAAGCTTATTAACATACTGTTGTTTTGAATTCACGAAATTTAATAAACAATAATTTTTTGTTACTTCCTTTTTAGTTTGTAAATTCCTCTATTTTTGTGCAACGGGAGCAACAGCTCTTTTAACAAAAAGTCTATAAGCGATGGAAATATTACAATTCGGCCACTTTACACATGAGTGATGTATCGTCACGTCATAACATCATGATATACTTTCGCACATCTTGATACGAACAGCTATCTAATCGGTAGTACAACACAACTGTCACATTCTCCCAACTTATGTTACGAAACCTTATCACTTATCATCTGGCAGAATTCTTTTACCATGCTGTATCTAGGAAATAACTATTCTATTTCTTAAATTTAACGTCAGACGCTCACTTGAAATATTATTTGTCAATTCTCTAAGTCGATAGCTCTGCGCTCCATGTTATCTACATGTTATTTACCTGTTACGTTTCAAATCCAACTGGAACTGTAGTAATCCAAACAATTTTTCATTCAGTAAATCACTTATTATCACTTTTGTTTGTGTTTTTGCTGCCGGCGCTAAGCAATAACCTGCAACTGCAGATGATGTAACCCACCCACTATGACAACTGTCAACGTAACTTTTAACAGGACAGAAAACAGATAATAAAGCCGAGACTCTGCCTTTCCAGTTTAATTGCTAACTGTAATATAAATAATCGGAATTTGGACAACTATTAGCATTAATTTCATGTTTACTTTCTTTTATCAAATACTAAGAATAACTTTTTAGGAGTAATAGTGACTGTCAGGAAGAATACTCTCAATTTGCCAAGCGAAATGTAGTTATGAATAATAATTATTTCAGTACGAATGTAAAACCTATTTAGTTTATTATCGCGGCCACCTATTTATACCGTTTTGTAAAACTTGATTTTTTAAAACTTTACAAATTCCTATTTCGCGATATTTTACCAATAATGTAATTTACACTGGAACTGCGCACGGCTTAGACAGCCGCATAATTTCATTTAAACGAAATCACATTAGGGAACGTCCATTATCAGGTGATGTTTTGGCAAGTTTTTGACTCCCACCCAGCTGGTGATATGAAGTAATGAGTCTTTAGGCTCCCCCTTCTCCGTACCCAAAACTACGTGTATTTTCCAAATATTATATTTAAATAACTACAGGAATAATGCGAGTAATTAATATGCTTAAGAAAGGAGTGTTCAGATATGACGGATGATAGAGATATATGGAAGAGCAGTACATACTGTGACGACCCTCCGTAAGGGATAAGGGCAAGTGGATGATGAATGCGAGCTACAGTATTTGGCTTGTTGAAAAAATTGGATTTTATTTTAACGCCTCCCCTCCACCTTGTGATATATATACAGATAGTAATATTATGTTTGTACGGCGTCGGCAGTGGACTGGATATCCACGGCGGAGGAATTCATATCGTATATTAAAAACGACGCCACTTAAGGGAACATGGCGTCTGTGTATATATGTACATATGTATTAAACTGTTGTATTGATACATGACGTGGTGTGCTGAAGCGAGGTGTGCGCAGGGTATTAAAGTTATAGAGAAAATAATTATTAAAGTAGCGTCCAGAACTGGTTAATAAGCAGCTATTTATCAAATTAAATACATTGTTTCTTCCTACGCTCAGTTTCATACTAAGATATTTAGTAAACAACCTTTTGTGACTATAATTTAATATACTCCTAAGCGTTAACTGTCTGTATTTAGTTCTTGGAATTTAAATGTTAAGCTTTATTTTTAATATTGGTTTACTTAATTCATGATCCCACAACCCTTATTACATTAACAGCAGTATACTGAAAAGAATCTCCGAACACTTCGCTTCGCGGTCAACATTTTAACGGAATTTGTAGTTTAAGCATGGCGCGGCATTATCATTTAAGATATAACATATTCAAATGTCGTTTCAGTACTCGGCCGTAAAATTTTTATCGTCAAGGAATGTGAATGCGTTATGTATTTTTGTCGCTCAGTTTGCTTTTGATTTTAAAGTTTACATAACAATTATTTATTAATGAATCTTACTTATCATACTAATATTATAAATGCGAAAATTTAGATGGTTGGATGTTTGTTAGAGTTTGTAGCTTAAACTGCTGAACGGTTCGTGATTAAACTTGGCATAGATGTAGAGAATAGTCTAGAAGAACACATGGGCTACGTTCTTTTGATTTTTTGTTAACTTTCACGCGGGCGGAGTCCCCTGCGAATTCTTGTTATTTAATAGGTACTTGTAATATTTTTTTTCCAGGTGCAAGCTATTATTCTACTGTTTTTGACTATATTTTTAATTTTACACGCTTACTGTGTAATTGATTTTGTTGGTGACACATTCATAGCAGTTATGATAAAGACCTTATACTTCCACGGTAAGTAACCGGGTTATTTTATATGTATTTTCTTAATTACTTCCTTTATAGATTAAGATGTAGCAGTTTTTCATTCCTTTCGTAACTGATTGAATCAATATATTATGATGTATAAAGTTGCAATTCGTCTTAAAACTTAAATAAAAATAATCATAAATTACCGAAATGTAAATCTTTACGTTCACTTGATGTATGTTTTGTGCAACATTTAGTAACCAGACAAGTTGTAGACATTCATTACATGTGAATTCGTGTGCCATTATCAACCTGATCAGATAATTTAGTTTAGTTTCAATTTGACTTCCCACTTACGATGGAACGTCAGCAAGCTATCACTAAAAGAACTATAATAGGGCACGTAATGTGTTAGGCATTGAACAGGAGTACAAGTTTAGGCTACCTTGCAGATCCTGGCCTGTGCGGCGACACCATAAACATAGGGACTCTGATAGATGGAATAGCCGACCAGGCGTTCATTAAGATGGAATATGCACCTTTCACCTATAACCGCACATTATACTTCATTTGGGGCAACTTTGCTGTCGCTATATTGTGTCTAATTGCCAATGAACTGATGTTCAGTAAGTACTCATTCTTAATTTGATGTTCAAGTTTTATAATGTAGTCAAAGAAAATTACTGACGATTTCATCTTCTGTTTAACAATGTATGTTATTTGACAAAACATTTTTTTTTATATAAGCATTAACTTATTATTTATATTACAGTTAACTGGTCAATAATTCCATGGCTTCTGGTCTCATTGGTAGCTTGCTTGCTAGACTTTTCAGGGATCCTCATTTATCTGAACGAGACTTACGCCACGAAGGTTAGTGATGTTGTATTCTATTTACTGCAGCAAACTGTCCAATTATTAACATAAATGAATTTATTCGCAGACCCTGCCCGATGTCATGGTTTATATAGGAGCTAAATCATTTGGCACAGGCAATTTGGCTCTGGATACGGCGTCAGTGGCACCCATCATGTCTCTTATCATATCCAAGTGTGTAGTCTTCTTAATCATAAATTGTACACTCCTTGTGTGGCATGCTATGGACCGGAATGATCAATATAATACTTATGTAAATGTAAGTTAAACAACTTATTTTTATTTTATTTACCTAAATCTTTTTCCGATGAATATACCGATTTGCTTAGTTAGATGAAATACTTTAAGATGTACTTGATGTTATCAAGCGTAACTTAAGTACAGAAATTTGTCGCATTACTGATAGCAATTCTGATTCACTAAAATGGATTGATTGGATGGACTTTGCCGGAATTAGACATATTTATTTTAACTAAACAAGATTATTATGAATTATTGCTTTGACTTAAGTTAGCAATGTTCTAAGTACCTAAGTCGTACTGATTACACATTCGGAGGTTTTTTAGGCTATTGCCGCGGCGGAGAATCCTATCTCACCGGCCGACTTTCCGCTGGAGACTATTGACGTTAGTCCGCAACGCTTGCCGCGACCCAGCCTCTACAGGTACCATCTCTCTTAACCCTCCACCTCCACCATTACCCCCAACCACTTATCTCAACAACACAATATATGTTTAGGTTCTTTTATATTTACATTATAACAAATATCTATTTATATTGTAACAATAGGAATGATCGTTTTGTGGCCACGTTGAGACTACGAGATATAGAAGCCGACTGCAGCCCCGCGCCTCGAGAACTCACCATTGCGCAGCGCCAACCAGAACCATTATCACGGCGAGTTCTGTTTATATTCAACTTTGTAATATGCACTTTAAATACTCATATCATTAGTCTACTTTATGTGTTTGTCAGTTTTCGTCGTACAGATCGATCTTCCTCACTCCCTTCTCAATTATGTCACATTTCACGCAAGCAATCCACTCCTAAATGCCCCGTACTAGTTACGAGTATGTTAATAGTTTAACACCAAGTTTATTAATTCTGATCCGCCTATTTGTAACAATGGAATAAATTACATTCTATTATAATCTCGATAACTTATACAAATAGGAAACTACTTGGATCTAATAGAGTGTTACAAACAGGAATCAACGCGCTTTCTCCGCCGAGGACATCCGGATTCGTGTACCCGACGCCTTACTATCCTTACCCCAGCGCCTGGAGAAAATAATTGCGGATGAATCGAAGAATTTGGAATTTAGAAATGAATTGAGACAAATTAATGAAATGTTAGTTTGAATTATTTATTTTATTATTCTGTAATTCACAAAACTTTTTGAAGCAAGGCAAGGATAGTAAAATTTTTATTGATAATTATAAACATTATAATTAGTTTTCAAAAGTTGTTCAACACAAGTAAGACATGGTGGAAAATAAATGTTTGTTATGTTGTTAAGGCATGAGGCCGCCAAGACGGGAGGTATCGGCCAAGGGTCGATATTATTCCCGGAGTGTACATTGATTCTCTCGAAGGAATTGGAACAAACTATGAAATACCAGAAACGATGCCTGGACAATTTCACGTACACATTTAAGTACAATACAAACATAACAACCCGGTGTCCGTGTCGTTTCCCAAGCTACAGACAGACGACTTCTATATCAAACGACGTTAGCGTCTCTAAAAGCCTTACACAATGCTCACACAATTTCATTGACTTTAGGTAGAAGGCATTACGGAAGGCCTATGTTCAATAGTGTGCAGATAAAATCTGATGATGATGATTGACTTAGTCTTGTCCTTTTCTCTCCTTGCTTTGTTTCTAATTAATTAATTAACATTAATATAAAGATTTTTATTTTACTACTAAACTCAAAAACTACTAAATCAATTTAAATATTCTTGCACTATTAGAAAGCTACATTGTCCGTGAGTAAGATTGGGATATTTACTACTGCTGGTAACAATGAAATATTTAAATACTACATCAGAAACAAGATCTTCGAGGAGTACAAGGTTTGGTGGCTGTCGGATTACAAACCGGAGAGACGCCTGGACCATATGCGCATGCGCACCGACTCCTTCCCCGTTTTCAATGATACTGCGAAGGCAGCCTCACCCTCCAGGAGGAATTGTGAGTATTACCTTATCTATATTGTCTTCAAACACTCGTTTTTTTTCTTTTTGGGTTATTTTAACTCAACGATCGACTGATATTTGATTAATATTAATTATTAATAATATTAAAAACTGTAATAGTAATATTATTGATTAAAATGTCGACTTGTATTTAGATAAATCGTAATTCCTAAAACTGTTAACTATAAACTGTAATTTGTTCCAGCCGTTGACAGCGTCCTCTACTCTAAAGCTATGAGGCAATCAGTGCTCTTTACGTGTGAGTATTACTCGTATACTAACATTGCTCGTAGTTTTGTATTTATTGACATAATATCTTCTACTAAATGTGGTAGTGGTCATTATATTAAGATCGATTATGGCTGAATATATTCAATATTAACGTGAGTTTTTTCTATTTTTAGCTCAAGATCCTGACGTCCTGTATTAATATCTTTGCGTGGTTCTTAACTAAAACGTTTTAACAACATTTAAGATTTATTTTAAAGCCTTTGTATATCCAAAGGTATATATATGTATTCATAAGTATATAAAGCTCTTACATTTTAACTATATAGCATACAGAAATAGAAATTATAACCCCTTTTATTTTCTATTTCATATTTAAAACATTTTAAAATGTTTAATTTTTTTTTTAATTTAAATATATACCTATTTTGTGTTTGCTTTCCTATTTCCAGAAAATGAAATCAGGATAAGCTAAAAACACAATCAAAATGTAGGCTATATATATTCTGCGTAATACTTTATCTTTTAAGAAGATAATTAATTTTACATTATATTGTTTAAATTTAAATTCTTTGGTTTTTATGTAAAAAAAGTAGATGAGTTTACGACCTTTGTTAATTTAACGGCGACGTCTCATTGTGCAGTGAAGAAGCTGTACACGCTTAGGTGTTATGTTACAGCGCACGCATAGTTTTAATTTCTTTATACATTGTCTTCGTAAATTTATTTCTCATATTAGTGAACGTTTATTTGAATAAAATTAAAGTAAATTTATAGTCAGATATAACGTAGTTTAATCGTGTAAGGAAATCCGATGACGTAACACTTTCTTGTTTTTTTTTTTATAACTAATTTGTTAAAATGTACATTACATTATTACTCTCACAGATTTTAATTTTGATTAATACTTAATGTGTTCAAGATATGTTTTTATGAGTTTACGTGTTTTCGTGCCATTAGTCCTACAACCAAAACAAGTAATTATTATTTTTTTATCATTGGTTATTTAAGTTATCTAACCATATATGTAAGTATTACTATTAACGCGTAGTCTTTAATGTAACTATAATATTCGCTTTAGAAAACTTCACAAAAAACAAAATAAAAAAATGCGTAAAGTAACTTGTAGGTAACTAATTCGAATGTAAGTATACAAATATATATTTTTCATGGGACATATTTACTTCCTCATATTTGAATTATAAAAGGAATAACTTTGTATTTAAAAGTATATAAAACGGTACATTTTTTCACGTGACTCGGAGACTGAGCCCGAGTGAAGTGACGCGCCCTTAGCCGCGCACTCACCCCCGGCTCAGTTACCACCCCCGCACCCCCATCGAGTGTTGTATTTTAATTTAACTGTTAGTCATTCCACATTAGATTTTTTATCTTTATTTTTATCTTCATATGTGAATTTTTAATTGTTATTAGATTTTGATATTTTGTAAAGTTTATTATTTTTAATATTTTTGTTTCTGTGATTTTTTTAATGATACTCTAATTTGTTTTGCGTAAGAGTAAATGTACAGAGTCTAGAGTTGTTAGTGCTAGTAGCCACGGTCACCGCTGGCCCGGCTGGCATGTCACACTGGATACCGATAGATAGTTACCGAAGTTGATGCTATTAGTATTTTTCTATAAGCTACAGTTTTCTAGTCTTCGTTATTTTACTGTTAATTTTCTATATTTAATTGTTAACTATTGTTTATAAGTAATACTTTTTTATTAGTAATTTCTAGTTTATGCGCTATTCAGTATTTTCACGTATATCTGCCGTCGGGCGATCCAGAACCAGAGATATCTAATTTTTCCCTATATTTATAAATTATTAATTACATTAGAAATAAATGTTAGAAAAATTAATTAAATAAAGTAATAAAAAAATATGTATGTTTCTACTGAAATTAGATTTTTCGCTGGTTTTGTTTTAACTAATTATTATTAAAATTTAGTCGTAAACTGCGAGCTTATAAAACAAACTTACGTAAAAGAAATGCAGTATTTTATGTTTCTGTTGTCATCAAAAAAAAATGTGAATTTTAAAATAATTTTATGCAAACGAAATAACCGTGCTTTAAATAAACCATATAATTTTAAGGCAACATTTGTTTTCTTTCACCTAAAACTCTTCTTTTCCCTTCAAAAGTAGATATGCAAGGGATTCATTGTAAAATGACGATCACTAAGTAACGAGAACACTTCTTAGTTGTGTCTTAGGACTAGCAAGAACTGAACTGCGTAAAAGGTTAGAGTATCAGGAAAGTATTGGTAACTGGAAACATGGGGAGCTAATTCTAAAAAAAACTGTAGTGTAAGTCTATAAAAATTAAACAATTATTACAAACCTTTATTTCATACTTAACAAAGTCCTAGGTCCAAATACGGAGTAGACGAGTAAGTATAGGTAAATAAAAGGTGCCAAATAAACTGACAATTACATAAACCTCAATTAAAAACTTCTTATTTGCTAATTCCTATTACGATGCGGTTTCTATCCCGTCGATTAACAAGTAGCTCCGCTGTACCGCGTAGTACATCTGGCAGCTACGGGCGCCACACGTCTGCAAATTACTCACATAACCTTCACCACCTAACTAGAGTTAAATTCATTAACTCCGATTACTTTATAATTACAGATGAAACTTAGAAATTTGATGTCATTTAAATTTTTCAAGATCTACATATATCGAATACAAGGTGGTAATTACAGATAATATTGTTAAAAGGTATAATACAACTGTGAACCGTCGGCTGTTCATGGCCGGACTCACATATCTGTGGGCAAAGTATAATGTGTACATCTCTGAAGGTATACTTAGAAGTTTGTTTATAAGACTGAGGAGTGGGAACTCCGACGGTGGTACCAGGTGGAGAAAGAGGGAAATGACAATGAGAGTGCCGGTGACGACCAGCCGGGGCGTGACGCTCGATGACTTGAAGGTGATGACGTCTGCGATAGAATAGCTGGAGTAGAACAAGCTCCAAATGCGCCAGCCCCAACACGCTAGCAGCAGCCCCGCTAGCGTCTCCTCCGGCGTCATTACATCCTGATACTATTCATTTATATATAATTCCGAGACACATCGTAATATACAATTTATCGTCTAATTTTCACAAATAATTTTAAACGTCATCTTCACGTCTAAACATAAATCCATTTGACACATTATCTTTTTAATTCCCCATCGTGTAAACTGTCTGATCTCTATAAACCTATGTGTAAAGCTTATTACATAATTTCTTACACTACAAACTATTTTAAGAGTAGTAATTAAAAAATTCTGTGTTTTCAAGACTTTGCAAATATAACGAAAAGGTGAGTGAGGCGTACGTAACAAGCGGCGTGGCTGTTCGATACCGTAGCCGCTGCCGTTGCTAAGCGACGATTTGTGATAAATAAGATAAAGAATCTTATCGTTAAATAAAGAGAAATAAACAACAATAAAACAAGCATAAAATAAATAAAATACTTTCTACTGAATTTGAAGGATGTTTTTGCGAGTCTATCTAACAATGTTTATTTCTTTTATAAAAAAAACATAAACTACGTCGTCATTGCCGTTAGAAGGATTGCTAATTAAATTCAAGAAACAGCCATTAGCTAAAGCAAGGGTATTGCAAAAATGTTTACAATTAAACAGTAAACAAGGTTTGTATAAAATTTTACTGTTAATTAGTGATAAACGAATGAAGTGAATTTATTTTAGTCTACACGACAGCGAAGGCATCTCTCGGGTATTCCCTGTACCAAAACGACTTTACTAAAATGCCCGCTAATGCGCTAAATCGAGTTTTGATATAACTTTGCGCTTATTATTTTTCAGAAGCTTGAAAACGACAATATTCATATTTACACTCACAGTAGCGGCGTTGGGATTGGACGCGGTCGCGCAACCGCCCAGGGCGCCTGATTTAAACAAACCACAGTAGTTGTAATAAAAGAGTGAGCGCCGTTGCAATCTTGCTACCTTTTCCGATACTGCGACTTTTCATAGCCGTATTGCATAGAAATATATAACGTACTTGAACATGTTATCACAGTTTATTCAAAGGAATTCAGTGTGAGTGGGATGACAAGGAAGGTGAAGTTTTCCGTTCTACATATTAAGCGCGTAATTAACGGCTCGGAGTAGTTAACGGCAGCCGCCCTGCACTCGAGGACTAGATAACAAACTTCTCAACTAATAAAATCCAAGCTCTCTCTGATAATTATGTAAAACTACTTTTTTCTTCAGCGAGGAATTTACTTTGAAGATTTGAAATTGCATTTCCTTCACCAGATATCTATATAATTTTTTTTAGTATTAAAGGCATTATATAGATATTATATTAATTATAAGCTTTTTAAAAAGGGTCGGTCATGAAAATGAACATAAGCCGGTAATGATTATTTTAAATAATCTGCGTTTTGTTTCTATAAATTCACTTTTTAACAGTTTATTGCAGTTAACAAACAGTATTAACCTTCTACAAAGACTTATTCACTTCATGTTAAGTCAACACATATCTAAAAGGCACCTAACGCACCCGCTGTGGAGACGGGGCGCCTCCACGTCGGGGGGAGAGCTGATTTGTTCGGTACGACGATTTTTACTAAATAATTTTATCTTGTACTAATAAATACAACAATCACCCGTTATTCTACAGGTATACTTATAATATTGTTATTTATTTAAAAAAATCATCGATACAGAATCTATAGCTGGAAAGTGACTTACAAGTTGCAGTTATAATCGAGAGTCGATTTCCGCAATAATGTGCGTGACGTAAACATGTATACACTCATTGAAAATAACATTAATTGGGAGTATGTAGCATATCAAATTTAAAACTAATTTACTATATGTTCTCCAAAAACATATTTAAAACACACAGCATTTTCAACAAATATCATATTGTGTTTTGTTTTGGTTATAATATTATTAATTCGCGTTTTATAAATTCGACGAAGTAAATAACATCAGTGAGGAAAATAATCCCAAAAAAGGCCCTCCGTTTGCCTTTTTTCACGTCTTTGTATTGTGCTCCGGTTAAGGTTCTATAGAATATGTCTATAAAATATATACATTCATAATATATATTATTAAATCAATAAATATATATTAAATCAAAAATCGTTGTCAATTTCATATGAAATAGAAGCAAAATCAAATAAAATTTTATTGTTAGCTTAGTTAATGAAAGATTCCCAGTAGAGGTTTATAAATAGGTAGAGTGTAGGGCGCAGTTAATGCGACTAGGATGTTCGGTGATCTGTGAATCCTTAGGATTCAGCGTTACAGTGAGACGTATGTACTCTGTGCTCCTACGAGTTCCGCCCGATACTAGCTACAATTATTTAGGGGTGCTCAAGCAAATTGTAACAAATATATTGTATTTTTATTGATGTGCTCATAGACAAAATACGATCCTAATTATTACTAGTCACTCTAATATTATACATGTTTGGATTATGGATGTCGTTTAAATTATGTACAGAGGTGACAGTGTGTTGTAGTTAATAAGTTACTAAGAAACCATATTAACTATATTGTAGTCCATTGTGAACAAACAAATCAAAGAATAACATTGCATTAAACCTTTTATTAGGATTGACAAAATGGTCTTAGATTTGTTCAAGAGAGCGCGCGGCGAGTTAATTGTGCCGACGGACCGATATCAGTTTCTATTAAATCCAGCAAAATTCGTTGAGCTGAAGTGTTCTTAGACTGGTAATATTGTCAATAATCATTTTCAAAACATTGTTCCAACTTTCTTCAAAAGGCAAAATAAGATATTTTTCTTCGATCATAAAATAAATCACTTTAACTAAACAAAGAACAAATTAAAATTTTATAATAAAAAAAATATGTAATCATTGTGTACACCCCTGTATGAAGGGGTTAAATGTTTGCATGTAGAAAGAGCAACAAGTTTCAAGTGTGCATCAACGCGCAGGCTCGAGTTACATTGAACTAATTAGACATGAACATTGACAGAGAAAGATGGACTGAAAGTCTTCAAGGTGCATTTTATTCAACGTAGAATTAACAAATTAATTGATCTTATTTACTGCTCTGAGTGAAAACGAGAGCGAAATGCCAACTTTAGTCATACATTCAAATATCTTCTTCATATATGTTATACTTACTAGTATTATTATGAATGCGAAAGTTAAGATGGGTCGATGGATGGGTAAACTGTTGAACGGAAATCGATGAAATTTGACAAACATATAGATGATAGTCTGGAACACCACGTAGGCTATTAGTTTTTTTATTTCGCGCGGACGGAAGTAAGTTGTGGTATAGAGATTGTTACGATTAAAAAAAATGTAAATTCATTTCTCAAATGAGCTTTAGTCGTGTTGGTTTGGAAACACCGCAGAAAGCACATTGTCACAGAGTAGTTACGTTGCGAGATGTTAGAGTGAGTTTACACAAAACGTCGAGCTGGTGTACACTAATTGTGTCGAGGGTAGAACTTAGTATATATGAGCTATGAAGATTTATAAGATCGTAATTATATCTACACGCTCCACAAATCTTTCAACCAAAAAGTCAAAATAGATAAAATAAGTATTAAATAGTGGGTAAATTTGAAGGCATTAATATCATAAGTATGTAAAATTAAATATGAGATTTATAAATTTTAAGTAAGAATTTATTTTCATATTCAATAATGTCATGTTAATTTACGGCACACTTAGAATTATTTCCATTCAAAATCTCTCTATTCTATTTTCAATTGTAAAATTATTTTCTAAGTGTAGTCGTGTGCCTTGTCGTGACTCGCACGATTCCCTCCTTCCAGGAATATTGCTGCAGAGGGAGCAGACACTATTCCTTTAATTTTGATTACCTACTGAAGTTTCACGCAACAGCGGCCGCTTTAACAAATAAATCCTCCGCTATTACTATTCACTAAACAGTACATAGAAATACAACCTTGAACATATCGTAATTTTATCAATCAAAAGTATCCGACCACCAGTTAGTGAACCCTTAACATAGTTTAAGTACGGAAAACCTATACTTAGTACCTTTAGGGACATATTAACTCTGAACACGGCAGTTAGAAACTTTTTATCTCGATTTAATTATGAAACACTAACTCTGGACACCCTTCTTCGTATACGAGTATACGCTATACACGGTAATCAGTCATACTATATTCTGTTCTGTTGCAACAATCACCACGTTCTTTAAATTCGTAACCAGCGGTTTGCCGCCACTTCTACAGCGCAAGATAAAAAAATAACTACACCTAAATTCATCCCGCATACATCGGATCGGACCTTTCAGTAAAAGTCCCCTCAAAATCGGTCCAACCGAATCGGAGATCACAGGATGTGAACAGAGTGACAGATTTTTTTATAATTAGGATTTTGTTACTAGAAATATGAAAGCACAAGTGACACTAACAGCAAGTTTTCGCTAATGAACACTTACTCGATCACAAACAAAATACTCATAATTAGGACACCAACTTCACCAACTGATACTTATAAGTTGTCTATCAGATATACATATAAATGTGTGCACTGTTCTGTCACACAACGAACTGCTACTTAAGTACCGGTGTTTTGTTATGAGAAAACATTTCTGTTGGAAATAAATAAAGGAAAAGTGTCCTTATAAAAACAGTAAATAAGTATCATTATTCTGCCAAAAGCTCATTCGGAGTAAAGCCGCCTCGCGAGGAGACCTTAACATACTTACGATAAGTTTGTTTATTTGTTAAAATATGAAAATGTTTGTAAAAATATAATTCATTTGTAGTTTATATATTAATAAATTAAATTACATTTAGTGCATACGACTATTGACGTATGGAACAAAATTGTGATTGAAACAAACAAACACCAGCGCGCTTGCTTGTTCAAACGAAAATGGTAACATTTGTTAAATAAAATTAGTTTTGAAATGAATTTCCCTGCCGGCCGCCCAGGGCGCACTGGCATCGATCACTTACTAGAAAAAATACTGTATCGGGACCGAGCTACAGCCACCAAGTGTACATGCGTCGTTAGAAATGTCGACCAAACTTATCGATCAACAACATGTTAAAACAATTTGTTTATATTTATTTGTTTATATCTTTGTATTGATACTTAGGAATATGTATTCATATCAAAACGTAGGTAAATTTTAATAACTTGACCTTCATAAATACTTGCATGATACAATAAGCTTCACTAATAATGTTACGTATGAAATAAAGTAAAAATGTAATTGAATAATTATTTTTGTCATGGACATACTTATAATTAATAAATCAATGTAAGGTGGAAAGGGCGGCGCGTTGGCAGTCGCGACCCACCCTTAGCCTCGCCGCTGCCTGCCGAGTTCAGATCATTCTCTGCCGCCGCCGCACTCGCAGCCGCCTCAACCGTCTCAGCCGACTCAGTCGCGCACTAAACTCACAGTAACAATATGAACCTTCCAAAGTAATCAATACAACCATATGTAAACATATTTATACTTTTCGTTATGTATATGTGCTTTTAAAAACTCTAAAACCTCGAAGATGGGCAGCTTCGCTGTGACTACGATAGTGGCGTGCACTATCATATCGGTAAGTGTCATTTCAACGTACATATTTCAAACAAACTGACTTGTGGCGCCACCATACATATACTGATTCATCAATTGCCGCGTCTTATTATGCGAAAGTCTAATTTGAATCAAAAATTTAATGCGTCGCGATCATTTTGTTTTGAAGGAAAATAATACAAATTAATATTATTCGATGTTTTCGTTTGTTGTTTATTGTCAATGGGCATTCAAGTGTGTGTGTGCTTCGTCCGGAAATAGCAAAAGCCTACGCACCAATGTGCGGTGTAAACAGGAGCCTTCCAAAGTCACGAGGTGACAAGTAGGTGCCGTCGCGACATACCAATGTCACACCACCACCTCTGCTCTACTCTACTTTACCATATCATAATTATTATAATAAATTCAGAATACTCTTATAATCGTTAAGAACGTATTCGTGTAGCGCAAATGTTCCTTTGCTACTTAATTACTTACCATACTACAGAACAGTTTTTTTTATTATTTTAAATGTTTACTTGTAGGTTAAACTTTTTTCAGATAATTAAAATTAAAACTGCTTATTGCTGTGCGCACATAATATTATTAGGATTTATTAAATAGATAATAAATACGATAGCATCAGCGGCACTCAACAGCAATCGCCCAAACTCTAAATAACCTAATAATAAACAGTCCAAGATAAAATTTTCATTTGAACGAAAGTTTAATTTTATAATTTGCTTTATTTTTACCAATGCCTTAGAAACGCATAACTCTAGATGGGGTGTTTCATACAAGTTTGACACTTAAATGACATTTGATTTTCGAAATGTGGCGCGTGACGCAAATGTTACCAGTATAATAATGTTATTTCCCAAATTCGGAAAAATATAAGAGAGTATATAAATCAAAAATCAAATAAACTAAAACGTTCGTCAAAATGATAATTTTATTGTTATGTTTATGAAAAACAAATTACACTCAACTCTCTTTTATCAACACATAATATTCTGTTAAAATGTTACGATATAACTAAACTGTACTAAAACCAACAAACAAAAATAAATTAAAGAGGAGCGGTTGCATTCGATTTACTTTTTATGCAAATTTTGTAATGTAAGTGACAACACTTGGGATATGTACCGCAAAGAAGGCTGCCGGCAGACTAACGCGCTTCATTTTAGTACTCAGAACCATCCATCTTGAGGTGTAAATGTATATTTAATATATTGTTTAATTATCTAAAAGACGATAAGTTTTAAAACTGCTTTTTTCCAATTTCACAAGTTTAAGGTAAATGGTAAATTAGTATTTCCGCGAAGAACTCGCTTCACTTGACTTGTTTGTTATTATAAAGGGTTTTATAACAAGACTCTAATGAACATTATGCGTACTTCAAATCTCAAAACAAACGAAATAAACCGCTTCAACCTCGATTTAATAGAAAATAA